GAGAAAAGGAGAGGAACACCAGGCTGAATATATGGAGAACGTTTTTAGGAAGAAACACATAGAAGGTTTCTCATATCTAAAGAATAAAATGCCCATGGCCAGGCATAGTGGTGCAAACCTTTATACCCAGCAGATGGATATCAGTGAGATCAAAGTAAGCTTGACATACATAGGGAATTTCAGGACAGCTGGGGTTACAGGCAGACTCTCTCTCAAAAGGGTCAAAAGAACAAGAGAACAAGAGATGACTCTCCAAACAATTTCTCAGTTTCTATTTTAGGACAGACTCATTAGAGTATAGAGGAATTCGTTCAGTTTTCATACACTGAGTTCTATCAATGATTCAAAATGCAGCTATGGAAATGGAACCTTAAGATTCTGGCTGCAGTATCATGTATTAATGGGAGGGTGAAATTAATTCCAAAAATAATGAACAATATTAATTGCTGTATAATCAAAAAATAATTCCTCTTAGAAGTGGAAATGATGTGCAGATATTCCCAATACTCTAATTTGTAAATTTAAGGAATCCAAGACCTACACAGCAAAAGTAACATTTCTACAAAGTAGACCGTTGTCTATAAAAGGATGGAGAACAGTACAAATACTGATAGAAAAACCTCCTCACCTACAGACACCAGATTGCTGTAGTTCTCCAACATCACCTCCCTGTACAAAGTCCTCTGAGCAGAGTCTAGTCAATCCCACTCCTCCTGGGAGAAGTCTATGGACACATCCTTGAACATCAGTAGATCCTAAAATGAAAAATGTCAAGGAGACCATGTGCACTTAAACAGGGCATTGGACCCAAGAAAGAAAGAGGTAATAAGTAAATGACTTCTGAATTAGATGAGAAACCTGAATTATTGAAAAGGATATTTCATAGTCTAGTAACTATCTACAATCTCCTTGCTAAATCTGTGTAAAAAAGAATAGCATCAGACCCCCAAACTTTTGTGAAGATTATGATGTTAAGGAGTACAGCACATAAATTAAGCCCTCAACATACGAAAACCATTTCCCTATTATATTTGCAGCACACAATATCAATTGTATATATATATCTGATGTAAAGTCACACTGATTTATAAGTCTTTTTATGAAATCAATTTGGTGATCTGTGGCTGGGCCTGACTTATACCTTTCCTAACAGACATTGCAGTGAGGCCAGTGACCCAGGTACAAAAGACACTTTATCCAACAGCACTGAGTAGAACATGGCAGAAGACAAATAACTATGTGTGCTCTCCCTCCACAGCAGGAAGACACAATCCTCATAAAACATTAGTATAATTATTCTAACAGTATTTCTATACTAATATATTTTCCTCTTCACATTTACCTACCTAAAATTTACCATGAAACAACGCACTGACTTATGCATACCACAATAAGAGAACCTGAGAACTGGGCTCCTCACTGAGGATAAATGGAAACATGAAGATAAGATCCACTGACTGAACATTGTTCATGTTGTGTATACAAGTGATTACAAAACCTGAGAACTATATGTGTGGAACATTTGCTAAAGGAAGCTCTTTTCTGAGGTTCAAGGCAGTGCTGTGACAGAGTGTGAAGTAGAAATACCCACAGAGAGAAAGAGGCCTGCTTCAGAATCTCCACCTGGAAACTCAGGATTTAGCAAACAAGTGAGAAAGATTTCTTTTTCCAAAGAAAGGAAGAGAACTACAGTGATGAAAGGGGAGATCCTGCAGTAAATGTCATGATTCGTGTGCTTCACTCTGTGAACTTCCAGGAGAAAACTTATTCCCAATAAATTAAAAGCAATGTCAAAGTCTGGGATTTGGTGGAGAGCAGCTCAACCAAGGGACTCAACTCCCAGGAGAGAAAAATACTGGTGTCAACGCAACCAGCAGCACATACAATCGGACCAGTGATGTGGGTGGGATTAAATGTTGAGCAATGTAATACAAGAATAATATAAAACAAAAATATCTCTTTTATGTACAATTCAAACAATGATACAGTGGCTTATGAGGACCCAAGTCCACCCTCCTTAGGAACTGAAGACTGATATGTCTGAATTTTCACCTATCAAATCAGAAACATTTTTGATTAGGTTTGTCATGAATTCATTGGAATAGTCTGGAAAAAATAAGCATTGGGGGACAAAATGGAGAGGTGGACATGCTACATAGGTTGATCCATATGAAGAGTTAAGGTGGCCCGAGCATGGTGGAGCAGGCCTTTACTCCCAGGACTCAAGAGGAAGAGGCATGAGGATCTCTGTGAGATCCAGGCTAGCCTGGTCTACATAGCTAGTTTCTGGATCAGAAAAGGTTACAGCTTCACCTACCAACACAGCAAGAGGAAGCAGCACCTCAGAAAACAAAACAGGTCATTCTCACTGTCTGCCGTCACAGTAGATGTGTGGGAAGAAAGAGCTCAACAT